TTGAAGGATTTCGGTATGTACGCTTTTAAATTCTTTTTATTAAATTCATTATTCATAACAAAATTGTTGGCATTGGCAGCGAAGCTGAAAAGAAGTTTGGCTCTACCCCTGCTGACAACTTTTAATTCTTTTAAGCCGTACATACCGAAATCCTTCAAGTAATCATAGAAATAGAGATTGGAGTTAATATTGATGCGATTTCCTTCTGCGTCCGCGCACGTTTCGACAAAAACGACAAAATTGCAGTTTGAAAGGCAATCGTACAAATTAATCTCGAGATTTGGGGCGGTTGTGGCACCCAAATCAGGGGGCTTGTCAGTAGCCTGTTTACTAGGCGGAATTAAAACGTTTGCGTTAGCCTCTCCGTTATCAGATAAAAGAATATTATTCTCACCCATTTTCGATCTCTTGGTGTGCCCAGTGGCGTTCATGTAAAAATTTTCAAAACAGTCTCTATTTGTGGTTATAGGAGCAGACCCAGTCTCCATAGGGAGACGGGCTGATGTTGTTTTGGTTGTTATCACAGGGAACACAAAAAGAAAAAATCACAAAGAAAAAATAAAAAATAATAATTGAATATATGTATTGCTTCTTAATTTTTCTGTCACGAGAGACTCCTCCTCTTTTCCTCTTTTTCTTCTTTAAAATTGTTTTCTTTGGTTATTTTATTACTTTATTAAACCTCTTTTCCTTTTTTCAAATATTTAAAATCTCTTTTTTTTTCCTTTTTTTTTCACTAACACCGGTAAACACAAAAATTATCCAGCTGCCGTTTGCGGAGATGACGTGTTGTGTCGACTGTGAATGAAATGCGAATGTAATTGCCAAATTATGGATCAATTAGTACGCAAGTATACATATATATGTGTCATCAATAAACAAACTTGGTTTTTCTTATATTCACTTCCTTACTGTTGTTTTTCACGAATGCGTTGTTTATGTTTCTATTGGCTTCTTCACTTTGGGTGCAAAACCATATGTTTGTGTTTACATTTTCCCGAAAACAATACGGTAGCGGGACTGGCCGACGTATTCAAGTCGAAAACAAAAATGACGGTTCATTATGTCAACCCCCATATGTAATCGTTACTGACAGCAATAGAGGAAACACAAAGTTAATAAATTTTCCCTCGTCCTCACTCAAATAGAATATTGAAAGTGAACTGAACTGAACTCTCTAAGTTATTATACCTTACTATAATTCGCGTTTATTATTAGGGACATCTAATTATATAAAGAATCCAAGAACGTTTGAAAATAAAACCGCAATATCCTTTGTATATTTGTTAATCGCCTAAATATTATTTTCTTGGTAATATCAACATCTCTGAAGCTTAATGCAATTATTGAATCTTATTTCAAGAACTGCCATATGTTTTTAACTCAGCCTAGAAGAGATTCTCAAGAACCTTTATATGGCCATTGTGACGATAATAAAATAAAAAGGCTCATTTGCACAAATTTTCTCATATTTGCGTTATTCAAAATTCTTCAAGAGATGCGTTAGAGGGTGTTGTTTTCGATCCGAAACTATGCTCCATTCTCATATACGTCCAATTATGATGAATTTTTCTGTACAAAAACAATTTCCCATATTTTCCTTATGAAGGCTAGGATAAAGCCCAATTGCAACATTCTTTCATATATTAATCCTCTGAAATTCCCCAATCTCCCAAATCTTTATAGGCGATGACTTGCCCTTGTGGCTCAATTGGCTAAAGTTGAAACTTTGGCACCTGTTTCACTTAGTGGAATTTTAATGCTCCGCAGTAAACGTCGAGGCACTATATCCCAATTAACTTATCGTTCGCTTTAAGTATGAACATTCTAACCTCTTTCATACTGCTTGCAAAAGCATTTTTATCTTATTTTCTTTTTTTCGATTTGCTAAGTTACATTAAATACGTTACAATCCATTGCCTATCATAAGGCGAATTATAAATTATCATATAAAAAGGCATTGAGTATGTGTGAGTGTTTAACATAGCCTACCATAAGTTTCTGCGATTATTATTTATATTCTGATACACCATATGTTGGAATCATTTTTTTTTTCAATCGCTGACAATGCTTAAATTCAGTTCTTTATTTCTTTTGTTATACAAGAAGCTTTATGATGAACTTTAACACACAATGATTGCGTTATGTGTTGCGCGTGGCGCAGGAACTATCAAAATAAAATTGATTATGTGTGTTAAAATATAAATTAACATGTAAGTTGCTTTGCGTTGTGTGAGCGTGAAATTTTGATAAATCTTTTTAATTCCTGCTTGCTTGGTAAAACACATAGCATAGTTTATATTCTTATAGTCTTTGCAGCGATTATTTGCTAAAAAAAAATACGTTGTACCAAGGAACAACAAGAAAGGAAAAAGTAAATTTAATCAACTTAATAAAAATAATATCAAATAAAACTGTTATATTGGCAAAAAAAAAGAAAAGAAAATGGATAACCACTAATCAACATGGTATGTGATAGGCGAACAATTATACGACAAGTGCTTACCAAGCTTTCGGAACAAAGTAGTAAAAGAAAAAGTCTGGGCCGCTATATCCAAGGAAGTGGACACGTCTAATAAGTATAATATAACAAACTTGCAAATATTTCAATTAAACTTCTATATTTTTAGTTGAAAAACGCAATGTGAGGTAGAGGTCGCTGAAAGATGGCTTCACTAAGGACTATAACAGGAATAGCATTGAATAAGTAAGTGCGATATGTATATGAGCATTGTGTGTGTATACACCTTGTTTTATAGGAATTAAACAAGTTTGGAAACAATGGTGGAATTGTTTGAAAGTCCGGCACCGTCTAACGACGAGCCACATAGTTGCGTGTTTAGTTCTTGCAACATATTCGGCTGCTTCAAATACAAATCTGAAGATGGCAAATATTTGGAAATAATGTACAAATTGATGGATATATTGAAACGAAAAATTCAAAGGGATGACCAAGAGAAGAAGAGAAAGGAAGAAAAATGGGATTAATTCAATAAGCTTTTTGGAACAATGCTCAAGAAAGTGGACCCTTAACGGGTGAGAGAATTTGAAAGTGGAATGGCTCAGCTGTGCAAACAAGATAATCAAGGAAATGTTGAATGGTTACGGCATCATGTAATGTCAAATATATAATATTAGACATGGGCCAGAAACGTATACTTAATTAGAGACATATAGCGGCTTCATTAAAGTTTTTCATTATAAATGAATATCATATATTATTTATTGCATTGCTTTTTCATTATAAATGAATTTTTTTTTTTTGATTCAAATAAACTTGCGTGGATTCAACGTTTAGGTTAATTGTGTATTATTAAGTTGGATTTTGAACAAAGTAATTTTTCAGAGAGTCATCGAAATGAAAAGTACTTCTGTTGGTGTTATTTCCCGAGAATCTGCTTGCTTTACGTTACGACTTTGTAAGGCCCCTCCATAATCCATATTTCATTAACATTTCCTCCGTGTTAATGCGAACATTCACTTTAACTTGCTCGACGTCATCATAACACATAAGGTCGAAGGCGGTTGCAAATAATCCATCGATATCTCTGTTTTTTTATTTACGTTGGTGACGGCTCCTGAATTACAACCGAAATAATTAACTCGTCGCTATTGATATACTTGGTGCTCAAATGTTTCCATACGAATCGATTAAAGATTGCCATGTGAAAGTGTAGAATAATCGAAATTGTCTTCTGCTTTCAACAATCTTTTCTTCTCTCCCATTTTTGTTTTATTCGTTTTTGAAAATCACTATTAAAGAAATATTTAGGTCTATTAACTTTGCACTTCTACGTCTACATCTATGTAACCAAACACTAAAAACGATTTTACTCTGGTAACATATATGAACTATGTGCTCAACTGATTTTGCATCGTGTTTAGTGCTTAAAAGTAAATATTGGCATTTAGTGGCATTGGGCGGCAGTGTGCGAGCAATGTTTGAAAATACGAGAGGGATCGAGTAATTAATGCAAAAAGATTGATAAAAGGACTAAATAAGAAAGGCTGATTAAGAAACATCATTCCTGAAATTTCCATAAAGTTGCTGTTGTAATGAATATATAGAATATGCCAAAAAATAAAGTGCGTAAAACTGTTCTTTAAAAAAATTATTCATTTGCCGTTTTGAAGAAATGAAAACTGTTTGAATGAACGAAATTATTAATTAATTTTGAGATGCCAATTGAATTGGTCTGTAAAAGTGGGGAAAGAAAATGTACAACTGCAATTTATTGTTAAAAAATTCAAACGTGATTAAGTGTTTGAAAGATTTGTTAGAAAACCTGTCCAGCAAGTTCGTATTTAAAGATGCAGCAGCAACCACAAAAGCAGAAAAGCTATATGTATGTCATATAAAATGTACTTATTACTACTGCATATCCTTTAAAATTACTGGTAAAAGAGCAAAATAAAAACGAGATTTATGAAACAGAAAATTCTTTTCATAAGAGGTGTTTGTAACGAATTCAAGGGACACGATCGCTTTGAAATATTTTTTTCACAAATGCTGGCTGTTTGGTTAACTAACTCATTTGGTTAATTTAAAAAAAAATAAAAAAAACGGTCGTAACCGAATCTTTTATCCCCATCGCTGTTATTCTAAAGAAGACAAAAAAAAGCAACGTACTCTAACGTACGTTGTCGTTTCGTACTCCATAACATTAGGTGGCCGCAAATGATTTTTCTATTCTCAGAGTGAAAGTGCAAATTATATGATGCAAGTGTCGTACTTTATGATTAACAACCAAAAACGCGAAAAGCAAAGTTATTCACTGTCTTTGTTTCGTAGGCGTAGGCATAGTTTGTCGGCGTTGTAGGCCTGTTCTTTCACCGCTTTGGTCAATATTTCAGATCTCTTGTAAAGTTGTAGGCGATATCTTCACTTTTAGCGAAGAGAGAATGTTTACCGCGGATACCACACGGTGTGTTCAGATGGAAAGACGGACATTCTCAAGTGCTTTCCGAATTTGAAACTAGCCAAAAATGGCTGCACTTTATGGGGTTTTTGAAGACTGCGTTTACGTACTGTGAGGGTATTGGAACAAAAATAAAATTTTGATACGCTATAATTTTGAGCAAGTGCGGGAAGCTTTTTCCAACTACTGTAGCATCGCTCATAGAATATATATTAAAATTTTTCCATATTTATCTATTGCTGTTTATGAGTTATAAGTAAAAAACCGACTTTTTTCTTGAAAAACAGGGATGGTCTCAGTTTGCTTGGTACTGCAGGCGTGTGGTCCGACTGAAATGGTAGGCTGCGTTCAAAAACTTTCAATGTTTCTACCAAATTTGAAGCCAATAGCAAAAGTTTTGGCAAAGCGAATTAATCCCTTATCGTTCGGTGATGGATGCGAAAGTAATGAGTAACTTTGGGCAGTGTAGCAAATGCTTCTCGTTTCTTAATTTATTAAACAAATTTATAAAACAAATTATGATTGACATTTCACAACTTAGGCATTCGTATTTTTATTTTCTCTTACTTATTTTTTTTTTTTTTTTGTCTCCATTTTGTTAGGTGCTGTGTCATAAATCTCTCGTGTGTGTATATACTGTTGAAACAGACCTAGGATGTCTCCATCTATGAGAAACTCAGAATTGTGTATGCAATATTGACACAAATTAGCTGGATTAGCGGCATTAAATCATATAAAAATCAAGATGACAAAAATTATAAAATTATTACCCGTGATTTTTTTGGAGTTTATTTTATAACTCACAGTATTAGCAAAGTATTCATACCGCAATGTAATTTGCTACCGATTATTATTTCAAAAATATTCTTAAATATATAGCTTCCATGCGGATTCGGATTGGGCAATGCATTCTGCTCCCGCGTTCCTCAATACCCAACAAACTACTGCATCGTCGCATTTAAACGCATGGTTTACGTAAGACTTGCGATCGTCTTGCACCCTAGTTTGCATCTGCGAGGTCGTCGAGTGGTTTGTTTCAATTGATTAATACGAGCCAGATGTCTTGCATACTGCGTTTTAATATCTGAGGACTCGTTTTGCTGCTACGCGTTGTTGCTGTCTCTAACAATACATATTTTTAGGACCCAAGTCGTCCCCCATTTTGGCCTCACGGGTTCTCCGTCTCTGGCTGGGGAGAGAGGAGTGCTAGAGAGTAAGATAGGATACGAGTAGGTTAGGCGTAATATAAGAATAGGATAGACATGGGATAGGAATAGATGAAGATAGAATACGAATAGATTAAGATAGGATAGGAATATATTAAGATAGAATTTTGTAGCAAGGGTTTAACGTGGGTTCCTGCCTGGAAGGCTTAACCCCACGGTGGCCCAAGCCACTTTAAGCGTACGACGCCCCCTGGCGAGTTAGACAATCCCCAAAGAGTAGGAGCCTAAACAGCACTTGAGTCCAGAACGATTTATTGTGTATGGAACAATAAACCCCACTCTGGTCAGTGGTGAGGCGTAGCTGCATTCGACTGTTCCACTTTGGCTAGGAACTGCCAACCACAACCACCACGAGTACTCCCCGAAGGGCCGCACCCAAGCAGTCAGGACTCACAAATTGATCGACGATATTCGTTCAAAAAGGGTAAAAATTGCGCTCGCTTCCGCCATAAGGCTTCCACGGCGCCGTGGATCAATTACCACCATTACCCGCAGGCATCCGTGACATATGTTCAAAAGTAAATAGGCAAAAGGGGAAAGAGCCTTTCCGCCAAATCCCTTTTTTAATTTTTGCATGTATTAATTCTCAAGACAGTTTTTTAATCAATAGGCCAAAGGGAAGGCCATCCGTCAATTCCTTTTTGTATAATTAACTCTCTCTTGAGAAAATTTTAATTCCAACGACTTTATGAACAAAGTCCATCATAAACCCGCAGGCATACGTGGCTTTGTGAGGCGAGCCTCCTGACCCCCGTGGCTCCCAGTTTGTTTTGCAAAGCCTTTGGCATACTTTGGCGGGTTGTTAAAAAGAACCGTACTTGCTTCGGATTCACCATACTTCCTTGGTAGCCAACACCATGAACTACTCGGGTATTGCACTGACATGGAAGGGGCGATCTACCATGCACTCGCTAGATTACTACCTTCAACGTACTTAATACCATTCATAAATTTTCTAGGTAGTAACCAGCTATTGAATGAAGAGCTCATCTTCCTGCCAACCCCTCCACCATCTCTCAGAAACTCGTCGCCGAGTTAGTAGCCCAAAACCTTAAACTCTTCTTAGCCGGCCGAAGCCGTTGCCCGGGGATCACCACTGGGAAGTGAGAGTGTCGGCACATCTATATATATTAAGATAGAATAGGAATAGATTAAGATAGGATAAAAATACAATAGGCCAGATAAGCGTAGATTAAGGATAGGTTAAGGGAGTTGGAATCCAGTCGCCGACTAAGAGAGACGTAGTTTTCGAGTCATAGCAGTCGGAATAAGATTTAGATTAAAATACTAAAAATAAAGGTCCCTGCAAAATACAAATTTGTCGTGCATTTCCATTACCCTGGGCCGCTGAGCTGCCCCAACCTTTAGGGAAGGGACGGAAACGTGCTCACAATGTATTTATATTGAGATTGTGCGTTTATTACGTTATCTATATCCTGGCCCGTTCATGTAGATAGATACATCAATGAACCAATTAAGGTTGGGAATACCACTTTGTTGTTTTCGATATTTGGATCATTTTCTCAATTTCATATGCGTTTTTGGGGACGTTTAAGGGTACTTTCTTCTTATATATGGCCAGCCATTCAATCGACGTTCCACATACGTGCGGGCACCGTGGTGGTTAGGAAGGGTTATAAGAAAAGTGGGGAGAACAGAAGCAGTAGTTTTGGCGAGCGTTCGACTTGAAAATGGAGACATCATGTGCGGCAGGAATTGTTGGTAAGTTTCAAAGAAGCACAGCACGAATAAAGAACGATGTGTCGCGGTAGACTGCTATGAGGTATGCAAGTAACTTCAAGACGAGTGGGTGAAACTGCTGTATACGACGTGCGGCTTTGTTGAAAAATTTATTTGATGGACATATCTGTTTTCTTCCTGTAGAACAATTGTCTTGAAAGTACATAAACGCAAAACAGCCTTTGATCAAGGGTATCGAGAGTTATGGACACACTTTCATCGCCCATGAGCATCTGAGCCCTTCGCTATATTCGGTTAAGGGCCTCCAAAGAAAGCTTAGAGGTTCTCGCTCAAACAGACGAGTCATACTGCAACTTTGGTCGAATGTAGACGACATAAATGGTACGAATATCGGGTGCAGTAAAGTATTCCACTTTAAAAAAACCCAAGGTCATGGCTGCGTTTCTGTCCA